AAAAAAAAAAGAACAAATACATAGGCAAATACACAGACCTTTACAATAGTCAAAAAACTGTTCTTAGTAAAGCAAAAGAAAAAAAAAAAGAACAACAATTATTTTTTTTTCAGTTTTAAAAGTTTTATGCCAATAAATAATAAGTGGATAAAAAATGTACTAAAAATGACATAAATTTTAACAAATATTGCATAAATTTAACACAAAATTTAACAACAAATTTTATTGGCAAAAATTTGAAAAAAAAATTTTTTTTTTGAAAACAATTTTCAGGTTAATTATTCGTTAAAAAGTAATTATAATAAAAAAAATCAACAACCCCATTTTGCTTCAAAAAAAAAAAAAATTGTTTTAATATTTTTTGAATTAATTAACCAAATCAATAAAAGCTGTTTATTTAATTGTTAATTTTCAGCTGTTATAGATCACCTTTTGTCGGAAATAATTTCAAAAACAATTTTTTTTAGCAAAATTTTTTCTATATACTAAAATTCAGGACAACTTCTTCCTGTTTTTTTTTTTTTAGATAACCGTATCGTTTTGGGTACTCTGTGGTACAGGTTTAGCAGCAGCACTTATTGGTTTTATTGGAACATGCGGAGCACTATGTGGAAGTAGATGCGTAACTGGATTCTACTTAGCACTTATCATTATTCTAGTCTTGGCTGAAGTTGCAGTTGGAGTTTTCATTCTTTGTTATCGTCCGACGGTATAACTTCTAACTTCTAACCTCCGTTTATAAGCAACAAAAAAAACCCCTGTATATTTGTGTTTTATATGAAAAACTATTAGCAAAAGAAAACTTCGGTTAAGCAGTTAAAGTTTTAAACAAAAATCATTGATCCAGAAGAACTAAACAAATCATGTTGGTAACAAAAAAATGCATAAGAAATAAGTCACTAAAAAATACAGCACTTATTAATATGTCACACTTTTATCTATAAGTAAAACAAATAGAGCTTTTTCTTACTGTAATTTTTTAAAATTTTTTTAGGAGCAGTTACAAAACCAAAAAAAAAACTTTTTTAATTATTTTTTTGTAAACAATTATAATTTACAGATAAGGACAGGTGTTAAACGATACGTTGAATTGTCTTACCAACAGACAACTTTACCAGATTATCAAACATTACGTGAACGAGTAAGCGTTCTGTGTTTATTCATCTATCCAACAGTTACAAAAAGTTTAACTTATATTTTAATATTTAAAAGTAATATTTTTTACTAAAAATTAAAAACGATTTATTAGAGTATTACTGTGCTCTGCTTTTCGTTAATAATGATTATTGCAGTATAATTGTTGCGGTATTGACGGATACAACATACCAACGTGCTCTGGAATAAATCAGGTAAAAAAGTTAGAAAAATTTGCTTATAAAAGATGATTCACACCTTAAAAAAAAGATTTATGCATTGTATTAGAAAATAAAATAATGTAAAAATGAATTTTTTTTTTTTGCTCTCCCGTTTCTGCTTTTTCATGGTGCTTTTCATACGGCATTCAGACCATAGAGTATACACGCTGAAAAAGCAGCAGCATTGGAAACAAACAACTTCTTTTTCCTATAAGCGAAGTAAAAACATTCTGTTATTAAGAAAACAAAATTAATTTTAATCAACTAACGTGCTTAAAAAAATGAATTTTCTATATAATTTAATCTACTCGTTTCTTTTTACCTTTTTTTTTTTCAAAAAGTTCATTTAATTAAAAGAAAAATTTTTCATACACCAATCTATTTTTGGTTAACACCAGTTTGCCATTTCAATCTTTCTATTAATTTCTTAACAAAACAAAAAGAAAAAAACGATAAGTCAATGCAGGAATAAAAAACAACAGTTGAAAAAAAAAAAAAAAAACTAAAATTGGCTTCATCTTTTTTTTTTCGGGGATAAATATACAGCTGTAAGGTAATTACAGTATAACACAAATTTTATGTTGTCTATTACAGCAGTATAGTATAGTGTATCATAATTTATACGGTTCTTTTTCCAGAGACTTCAGAGAATATCGGATGTAAAAAGATTATATAAACAATGGTTTTTTTTGGTCATTTTATTCCTTTTTTTTTCTCAGTGAGTAAAAAAAAATACTGAACCATCAGTTTCTGGTTTACATTTATTTCAGCCAACATGTACGGCTGCGGTTTGGGATCGACTAGACTTTTCGTTTATGATTGCCGGCTTTGTACTCATCGGAATTGTTGCACTGCAAATTCTTGCTGTAATACTTGCAATCAGTATCATCGTTACAGTAACATCACGTTCATAACGTTAAAAATATATTTACAAACAAAACAAAAAAAATAATAAATATTAGTTCCTCT